ATGGGACGTTCAGGGCTCGCCTTACAGCTTCATTGTCTCGCAGTCTCTCGTCCGCGTTCCCGTCGGAGCGAGAGATAAACGCCCCTTCATTGTGCGTATTTCCCTCCTTCTTTTCTTTATTGGCTATGGCAATGGCCCCTTTTCCTTGTGAGTTTGGAACTCTCTCAAATGCGAGATTTTTCTGTGTGCCGAGGTCGACCATTGAAGAGACGGTGTATTGGACCTTCGTTATCCATATACTATTCACATTGGTTAAAGTGATATTGGGAAAGCAAGGGTGAAGTACTAACGCTATGATTTTTATAAAAATACTACTAAATGTTTTGAAACGAAACAACAACAAAAATGTCGAGGAACGATTAACCCACCCAGACTGTGGCAAGCATCGTCTGGGGGAGATGAGTAGAGGCGTTGCGTGCGTGTATACCTTCCTGCGTACACCCTGTGCACAGCGACGCGAGCTCTCACGCCGCGCATGCGCGAAGCGCGAGACCAGGCGTCACGGCTCGCCTCGTCGTCCCAACACGTCCCCATCGCGCCGACTTCGTACGACTCCCCTAAGCTGACAGTGCGGTAGAGGCTACACGCGCGACGGACCAATCGGACGCCTCCATTGCACCACGTGACCCGGCTTTCTGTGCCTGGATGTATGGGCGGGAAAGGCGTGATCAGGCGGCGAGATACAGACGTATGGCATGGTTCAACGAGCAAGATGTAGCCTCCACCGCTCTGCCAGCTTAGCCGCGGACCGAGTACGGTTGTGGCTGTCCGTCCGACCGCGACCCACGACGCGTGCGGCGGTCACGGTCCTCCGGCTCGAACCCTCTGTCCGCCGGGCCAGAAAATCGAAGCCACCGCAGCGCATATGGCCCGTGCCTCGCGTGAGAATAAGCGTGCGGAAATCCGTGCGCTTCAGCCGTAGCGGCGCGCATCAGCGAATCCGTGTATCGGGCGCCGCCATCTTGGTACTCACGTGTTTAGATCCAGTCGTCCGATAGTCTAATATTGTTAAAGGGCCCCTGAAAAGAAAAAAAATTGTGGTTGGGTCACGCGTGTCAAGAAATGAATTTTACGTGAAAAAGAAAAATCTTTTTAGCAGTATTGACGGTGCGAGACGCGATTTAGTCGGTAGTCAACTCCTTTCCACTTGCTTTCTCTCTCGACATTTCGGGCGGGTGGAGGAGAGGTAGAACGGCTTGGAGGGAAGGGTGTATGACCATTCCGTGACTTTGCGCCCAGAATTTAAAATAAATCTCGCGCCGTCAATATTGCTAAAACAAAATTTTTTCGCGTAAATTATTTTTTTTTTGTACGCGTGTCCCACCCAGTCTGTTAAAAAAAAAAAGTATTGTCTTTCATTTTTTTTTTCTTTTTTCAAGCTGTGCTTGCGGAGTTTGGTTCCCTAACAAGGCGTTTTTCACCCACGGAAGCCAGACTTTGAAACACGACTGCTTGCAAACGCATACATGCTTGCAAACGCATACATGTTTCCAAGTGCGGTTCTAGGCGCCGCCATCTTGTTGTTGGTGTGTGTAGATCCTACTAGCTATTAGGGCTTCTTTAAAACGTGTATAGGTCACTGATCTCTATGTCTATTTGCTGAATCGCGTTTGCCCGCTCCGCGGATGCGGCCACTGGCGGCCATCTTTTTAATAGAGTTATATTACCTCATGCCAATGCTCAGCTGGTGCAGCCACTATCATCCGTCCGTGGCTGACAGCGTTGTGGCAGCTGTGATGGCAGGCTGCCATAAAAACAGTCGTGGGAGATATTTCGTCCTTGATTGAAATTGTTCGACGAAACGTATTGTTGAAACTCGGCGTGAACGGTAGCCCGATCTTTGAGGACCCGGTGAAAGTTTCACGAAATCGCAGCACCGGGGAAAAGGAAGGAGCCCAGCAAGCGTCGAAAGTCGCATCAAACGCGACTTTCGCATCGCATCAAACGCAGCTCGCATCGAAAGCAGACGCCGTACCGGCGTCTGCTTTGGATGCGACCTGCGCTGCTTTTTCCCGGTGCTGCGCTTTCGTAGAACCTTCGCCGGGTCCTCAAGAAATGGGGCTACCGTTTACGCCGGGTTTCAAGAATCTGCTTCGTCGAAAAACTTCAATCAAGCACGAAATATCACCCACGGTACAGTGTACTAAACCCACGGCTATTTTTATGGCAGCCTGCCGCCATAGCGCTGTCCGCCACATTACTATGAAGGCTAGAGATAATATAACTCCACCAAAAAGATGGCCGACCTTGGCCGCATTCCCGTCCACAGTCGGAGATGGTCAAACGCGATCCAGAAAATAGACATAGATATCAGTGGTATAGGCAAACATTAATGCCCTGTAGACAGGAACATCGGAAGCGTTCGAGGAGGCTGCTACTGGTGACGTCAGCGATCGAAAGCGTCGCTGTTGTCGGCCCACCCCAATTAGCCGAATGCTGACTATGACGTCAGCAAAGGATGTCTCATCGACGGAAATAAGAGGAATGTAAAAACTTCAATTTTGTCGGTGTTGGCAGTGTTGATTTGAAAGCGCTATAATTTCAGGCTTCCACGATGCACATTACAAACACCATCGAACTTGTTGTTCACAAGGTAATGACGTCACGAAAGGTAACCGAACGAGGGCGCCACCGAAACATCTCGCTGCTAATACTGTTGCATGAGCTAGTTGGGCGGATCTGCACGATCTCGCGCAGTCTTTCGCTTGCAGGCTTTGCTGCGCTCATTCATCTCTGTAAGTGATGTCGTCACAAGATGGCGCTCAGCTCCAAACAAACCGTTGCTAGGGCCGTTGTCATGGACAAATGCATATGCGCTTTACGTAATGTTAGATATTGCCCGATAAAAACAATGTAAATAACTTTTCGTAAGCATTGTGTCCTCTCAATATTTAATCGGCAAGACTTTTTTTTTATCGTCTTAGTGTCATAAAGCGATGCCAAAAGCCAGTAATAAAGTTTCAAAACAGGGTTTGCTTTGCTAGCAGACGACAGTAAGGTTTCGCGGGTTCAGTGGTTCCTTCTGTGGGATGAGTTTGGTTACGATCGACGAAACCTCTGTTCTCGTGGTCAAAACTGTATATTTACCAACACGCTCGTTTTTAACGTTAATCGGCTTCGATCGACGCTCGAGGTGCTCGAACGCCTACCCGTGGAGCTCGCTTTCGCAATATTTGAGAAGGTGAAAACACCGTGCACCCGAATCGGCCTAACCACGCTCAACGACGACGTGAAGTGTATCAAGGTCGAAGTGCAGGCCAGCACACGTTTAAAGGATTTCTGACAGCACAGTTGCTTCAATGCACAACTGTGTGATCAAACGAACTGTCCGTAACCAGATGGAAACAGATCCACAAAGGTAGCACAGAAAGTAAAGATTTAATCGGCAAACTTGTGCCTAGAAACAAAAGAAAGGATGAGCGTCGCCGGCGGCAGCAGCGTGATGATGCGTCGGCGTGGCAGCTGGCTGTGAGTCGACAAAGCCGCGCTCGACCCCTTTCCAAAGTGCACTCGGCGTCTGAAACATTTGATTTAGAATGTTCGTTTGTGAGCTGGGGTGAGACTGATTAGGCAAGGTCATTCTGACCTCCTCCTCTTTTACACTCTGTAATAAGAGTGAATTTGAATCTTCTAGAAGCTTGGCGAAGCGTTCCTTCTCAGTCATGCACGCTTGGGGTCTTACTTAATACTGAAGAATCAGTGGGATTTTTTCTCACTGTAATGATGACAAGCAGGTACGAAACACACACCCATATTGCGAGCCTGAAAAACAAAGTTTGGGGTCTCGAACCGGTCATGTCGGAGTCAAAATAGTCGCTGCTTCATTACAATGCACGTCAGCTGCAAAATCAGAACGAGGGCCCGACGCTTCTTCGATATCATGTTCTAAACAACTGCTTTTTTCGCTGTATTTTTAGCAAATCTCAATGCGTGTGATGATTTTCGTCAGTCAGCCCCGTATCGTACGTAAATATTATTCGTTATAAACGTAATTAGATTTCTTAGGCCCGCCATGTTCTAAATAAATACTAAATCAAAATCGTATCAAAGTGCAAACGATTCAAACTATTGCAGACGGCATACTTCAGTCATTCCGTCTGCGTTCTTCATGCGCGCGTCGTCTGCAACAGGCATTTCGAGGTGTCCCGATGACCGGAAGTTGCCGTCGCAAATATTTCGGAAGCAGCCGATTTTCGACAAACTTCTGTCGTGTGGAATCTATAGGCTTCCTTTGTCTATTATTTTTGAACGTTTAAATTCCACGTCCGATTTTTTACCCATCCTTCTTTCAGAGCGAAATCCAGTTCCATGTATTTGTTTATTACAACGCCCCTAGCAACGGCTTGCTTGGAGCGGTGACGTCACACTTACGGGGTCAATTACGGAACTACAATCTAAGCTTACTTCTGCTTCTCACCACAGCGTGCGGGGTAGTCGCATCTCGTGGCCAGTGAGGTGCGTGAAGTTTATGGCGCACATGCCCAAAGAAAGTTTTGTTAAACAAAAGAATGCCACGTTTGTTTCATGGACATCGTGTACAGATAGCTGTTCACAACGCACATCGTATTCGTTGGCATCGTACACTGGAATTTTCATCCACGGCTCCAATACGTTTCCGCCAATCTCGAGGTGTGTTTGGCTCTCCAGAATTCGACTGTAAATTACCATAGTCCTGACTACGCTGATAGTCGAGACTGAAGTGGAGTTTAATGACTCCACAAACAAAATAATCGTAACAGATGTCATGCCCTCGGACCTCCCACTTCGGGTACTCCACATCTTCCTTCCTTTAGAACTAGCGTACTTTCCGCGGTGCTGTAGGTGAGAGTGATGGCAGTTATGGATACTAGTTATTACACCACGAAACGACTGTTTAATGCATTCTAAAAAACTGCAAACGGTACCTTTTTATATGCTGCATTCCGTGCGTTATAGGGCTTTGGAGATAGGGGTGGCTACCTGGCTTCTAAAGTTGGCATTGTTGTTCTTTTTGTGTGCAGCCAACGCGGAACCCGTGCCGGTGAGTGGCGGACCGGGCCACCGTGGAGGCGGAGGGTGCGGCCAACCTCGGGGGCACACGCAGGGCAAGCAGCAACACCAGGGGTCTTCGGATTCGGGTGAGCATATATCTTCTTGTCAGCAGTGGAGGCCCTCGAACCGCCTAGCGTGCTGAGCGCCAGCCATCCAGATCTGGTCCAGATGGTTGCGCACCGGCCCAACCATCTGGATCAGATCTGAATCTGGAATAGATCCAGATCTGGTTACGAAGGTTGGGCTGGTGGTTATTCCGTACTATTGCTTGCTTAGACATAATAATTATCTGGTTTAAAAGTAACGCAGCAGAAGGCGAGGTCGAGGGAGTTAGGTACGCCACAGGGATGGTAGGCGAAGTCATATGTACTTGTTAGTGCAACTTATGGATACACGAGCAAACTCTTTGCTTAAGACGCACCTCTGCTGCAGGAGCACTCTAGGGCTTCTAGTCTTTTGTATACATATACGAGTTCATCAAGATAAACTGTGGATAAATTATTGTCTGCAAAGACTAAACAGCTTTGAGGGTGCACTGGAATTCTTCAGAAAGCTCGCTGCCAGCATAATTGATGAGTGGGTCGCGGGCGGGACATCGAATTTGAGGAAGTTGCTTGCCTCAAGCGGCGTTTCGTATCTCTGCTGTACATCAGCAATTTGGCGAGTGTGTTACGCTTGTTCGCCTGGGATTTTTAGCGTGCATGGCCTAGTAGAGAGACACAAGACTTCCGTCGTATGTGGTTATCAGCATGGGCTGTGGGTAACTTCTCGTGTAGCAAGACAATTCAGAAATGCGTTTAAAGCTCGCCGTCAGCACAATTGATGTGTGGGTCGCACACGAGGCAAGGAACTCGCGGGAAGTTATTGTCTGCCTCAAATGACGTCTCGTGTTTCCGTCGGGTCAGCCATATGTGGTCATCAGGTTCAGCTGTGCGTAACTTGCTATCTGTCAATACCAAACTTTTTGCGGGTGCGAAATTAATCTGCTGAAAGCTCGCTGCCAGCCCAATTGATGTGTCGCCTGCGTACAAGACAAGTGACTCAGTGGCTGTCCATGTCCGCGTGGCAGGTGGTGTCGGTCAGCAGGGCCAGCAGGCGCAGCACAAGCCGACTCGGGTGCGGACGGTGCTGAACGAGAAGCAGCTGCACACGCTGCGCACTTGCTACGCGGCCAACCCGAGGCCGGACGCGCTCATGAAGGAGCAGCTGGTCGAGATGACGGGCCTGTCGCCCAGGGTCATCAGGGTCTGGTTCCAGAACAAGCGCTGCAAGGACAAGAAGAAGAGCCTCCTCATGAAGCAGATGCAGCAGCACGAAAAGGTAAGCTCAACCACGGCAATCGCCTTCTTCCTTCGTCATTTTATTCCTCGCGGTTTATTCATCGCGTATGGCAACCTTGGCGACCGCTCCTAGACAACAAAAACCTCGGTGCTGTCCTGCGTCACTGAAGGCCACCGCACAGATTCTACACGACTGCTGCATCACCGTTCGGCTGGGACTCGGGTTCGCTCTGATTGAACACGAATGCTAGTCCAACGCTGACGCAGCAGTCTTTTCTGCTTTTTGTGCGGGCCTCCGGTACAGTGACGTAGCCAATCCGTCGGTCTTGGCCCCTAGGAGGTTGTGGTATGGGTCGCCATCGTGACCTTGGGATGACCTTGGAATTCTGTCGGGCTCTAGGGCGCGAGGGGTAGGGTTCGGGTTGCGCCATCTTCAAGAGATCTTCGGGACGTCTCCCATAGATTTAGTTTTTGATATAAAGCACTAGTATTTTCATTATGAATGTACGATCGCTACAAAAGTTATGCTTTCTCCGTCGTGATGGCTGCGTTAGCTCCGAAAGGCTTCATCGCGCGAGATTGCTACACTCATGGAAGGCGACACGTCAGTGGCCAGTTACCATTCAAATTGATTAAAACCCTTTGCCTACCGCAAAAATTTTGAAAAAAAAAAAACGATTTGAAAATACCGACTTTTTTATGTGCCCTATAAATTTAATATGCAATACAAAGGCCAAAAACAAATGCCAAAATATTTATTATATGAGAAATCTTCGAACACACTGCAAAAGAAAAAGAGACTAAAGTTCCGCTTCACTGCATTACCGCGAACAGTTCACGTTACCTTGCACATAAACGTTCAGGCCGGGCGTAGCAGTACTGCAGAGAGTTCACATCAGATTGCACGCAAAGTGAACGCAAAACGTAGAGGGGCTGGAGGGGGATTTTTTACATTGATTCTAGTCCATGCCGAAACGCCGACACGCCGACACGATGTCCTTCTTGACATCGGAGTCGTCGGAGCTTAAATCCAATAATTCAGTTGCATTGCTCTCGCTGTTCGATTTCCTTGTCTTCTCAATCTGAAGAGACGTCACAATATCTTCGTCTTCGTCACAATTTTGAGGCAAGATCGTCACTACAAACGTAGCGACGAGAAGTTGACGTCGCCATTTTTAAATCCCCTGTTGCCTGCGTTGGAACAATTTTCTGCCAAATTCAGAAATTTTCCAGGTTTTTATTTTCTGTGAAGCGCCATCTATCCACGGCAAAGCTCACTAGAAACACGTGGACTAGCCCAGTTCGTGCATGGTAGCGTATTGGAGCCCGAATCAACGTGGACGAGCCCAGCTCATCTTCGGGGGGAACGGTACAAACAGTGTAGATGAACTCAGGTCGTCCATGGTAAAGAAAGGGTTAATTTAAATCCAAAGTACGTTCTTACTGAATCATTTTTTTACGTGTATGGCTCGGAAAAGGCTATGGAAATGAGTCATTTAGTTTCGCGAGATACTGTTTGTAAACTGGTTGTGCATTGCTTCGACAACACAGAGTGTATATAAGAGATCTAACCAAACTTTTCACAAAAAAAAAGTGGAAAAGTCTCGCGACGTCAAAACAATATTGCCGGAACATCAAGTACACGCGCGGACCACAGGATAGAACATAAACAGAAGAATTTGAGTGCTGCAATCTTCTAACCGTCTTGCAGTCCATACGCTGATTCTTGTTGAATCACGTACCACCCAAGTTTCAACGCTACCACGACTAGTCTGCTTGACGGGTACAAAACGCCATGTGCTGATTACTGCGTTCGTCCAATCGAAAGACAGCTTGACAAGGCCAAGTAGTAATCAAAATGGGACCGTCGGGTGGGGACAAAAACCAAGGGGATATCAGAATGTCCCGTGGAAAGCACCCTGCACGTATACACATTTCGCATTTCATTGCTCAAGCTTACAAGTCTTCAGCTCACCAGGCCATTGGTGACGTGGACATCGGATTTGCCACCCCGACGTGGACGGTGGATGCGAATGCTATACATTGAATACCATGTTGCACTCGTGCATGGGCCCAAGCTTTTCGCTAACATCAGTGGCCACCCCCGTCAGCGCTTGATGAATAGACAATCAAACCACCTAATTAACCGAGCCACCATCGGGTGTACTCGTTGGGGTGTAGTACGTTGTTTCGGCGCTGTGTATGTGACGGCCGGCGGTGCATGACACCAAACCGTGCTCGCGCTTGCTCGCTAACAAACGTCGCCTTATAATCACCGCCACGCCGCGCGACGTGAACCTTTGACGTGCTGACCGCTCAACCGAGCAGACGTCTACTTCGATAATTAATCCCGAGCCTCGTTAAGTGCACCGCGTCTCGGATGACTTAGTTCCGTATTCTCTGCGCTGACTCTGTGCGAGCTCGAGCCAGCTGGTTTGCGGGCGGTAGCCGGTAAACGTACACACGGGCAGCCGACCTACTCGCAACGGCTGCCACGGCATATGGTTGCGTCATAACCGTAATAATAAGCAGTGCTTGTGCCTACCCATGCCAAACATAAAACCGGTGCTTAATGAGTAAGGTTTCTTTAAACCAACCCACTAATTATTATATATATATATATATATGAAGATAGCGTCTGGATGAGAAGTCAGAGTTCCCGGTGCTTGTCATCCATTCACAAATGCCGAGTCGTTGAGCCGTGGACGTATTCCCGGTGCCTTATATTTTGCGGAAGAAATTTTTTCCCATGCTGAAAAGGCAACGCTCAGGAGGCGATTAATATATGTCTATACTTCGCCTTCATTCTAAGTAAGCGCAGACGACTCTACGTTCTGATAGGTCCAATCAAAGAACAACAAAAGTGCAGCGTCACGGCATCTCTCATCTTGTACACGTCTGTTGTAATCGGCCTAACCTACGAAGTGCACTGAATGCACCGTGACATTGCGCTTTCAGTACGTATGTCCGTGTCTATACGTTTCCTAGCCTATAATAGCGGTGTTACGGCGAAGCGAAGTACTTCCCGTTACAATGGCGTGGTTATGACGCAACCATATGGATGGTAGCCGTACAGTATAGACCGTTTTTGCATACTCTCGCCCCGGACCGCCAAGTATGCATATCGGGTATGGGCGACGAAACAATATTAAACCATTTCAATCTGCAAATAGTAAAAAAATAGAGGGGAGGCAAAACTAGAATGGCTGACGGTTACGCTTATTACCTAAATGCATTCTATTGGCGTGGCCAAGCAAAGCAATGTTTTCGCCCATTCTGGAAGTGACGATATTTCAAGATGGCGGCGCCCTTGTGAAAAAGGTTTATTCGTCTCAATGAATGACGAATATCAACCTCAATTTCCTCCGCTAAAAACTACAGGAACGAAAAAAAAAATTCTGGGTTACGAAAAAAAATGTGTTTTATGGTTTAATATGAAACATAAAATACAGACAGTTATACTCCACGCAATACCCGACGGCAAAAAATATAATAAAACATCTCAATCAGCGCTTGTTAATTTTTTTTCTCGAGTCGTTATATAGAACGCACGAGCGTTCCGGCATCGAAGAAGATGAGCCTGCGCAAAAATGACACGTGAACCGAACCGCCGACGAAAACGCGCGCTTCTAACGACCTTCTTGCCCAGTCGACCGCAGCCTGCAAACATCCGCCAACGAACCGCTACAAAGCACCCTGCTGGGTGCGATATGTCCACCCCCCCCCCCCCCCCCCCACACACACACACACACACACAAACAAAAATAACAAGAAAAAAATAAAAACAAAGGCGGGAGGATTAGGCCGAATTCTCAGCGCCGCGGTTCCGCACAGCGGCGTCCCACCAAAAATGGCAGCCACCCGGCATAGCACCTGGTCACGAGACTAGTGTACCGTTCCCGAATCCAATTAGGGACGCCGGCGGTGACTGACTGGGCTGTGCTGCTGCTGTTTCGGACTCCCCACCGTCTGCTACTCTCTTCAGGGAGCAGACGCTATATTATAGACGCGCGCACGCGTCCCCCTTTTTTCCGGCACCGGCGCCACCTAGCGGTATACGGCGCGTCGTCGTTAGCGGAGGTCACGCCCAAAAACGCCGGAGAACGTCTGCCGGCCGCTAGGGTGTGCTTCCTCCCCGTGAATTAAGGTTCGTTCGGGGACCTCGGGGGGCGCGGCCGCAAATATAAATAAATGAGCGATCCCGGGGAGGAGGAGGTGTGCACCTTTGACGATGCTGCGTGCCCCGTGTGTGTATCACCAAAAACAAACGCGTTGCGGTGGAGGCTCTGAAGTAGAGTAGCAAAAATAATCATGCGGACGAAAGGTTTTGTGGGGTGTGTGACGTCAGGAAAATGGCGCATTTTTGGATGCTTTTGCGGTGAGCGTATAATCAGCTTAGTCGGCGGACCGACGTTCATGACGATTAGGGGTTTGTGTGTTGGAACCAAGGTCGCTTATTATCAACATGTGTGCCTTTTTATTGCCCTCGTTTTCACCCCCAAAAACTGCAGGAAAAGAAAGTTGGGCTCATCGCGAATCATTACTGATTTTCCTGTTTAGATGCATTCAAGATCAGTTATCAATGGGGGTGCCGGGAGCTTTAGTCGAACCCTCAAATTGTCGGCAATTGAAACATAAATATTGATCATTGTTTTGCACAAATAAAAGCAAGATATAAGCTGTTCATAATTCAGTTTGTTAGAATGATATTCCCCTCATTATCCAGGCGGTGCCAGTTCATTTATGTTTAATTCACGCGCTTCCAAATAATATCCGAACTTCTGGTAAACCACTGTCGACCTTTTTTTTTTTTTTTAACCAAATTTTTAACTACTTCGCAGAAAGATTCCTTATATATATAAAAAAAAATTACAACAGGGTTGTTTTGTCAATTTACTGTCTAAATTTGGTCACATCTCCTCACCCTCGTTTAGCATATGTCTCTGAGGCGCATGACAATGGCACCAGCCACTGTCGTACGACCGTTGCCATTGTCGTATGAAGTTTCATACGGAATGCTTTCCTCGCTTTATCGATCGG